TTTAAAGGCCCTGTCTTTAAAAACAAAACAAAACAAAAACCTGGGGGGGCCAGCAGATGGTGTAGTAGTTACATTCCTGGACACCCACATGATTTCACCAGTTCAAGTCCTGGATCCAGTGGTTTTAAACTCAGACCGGGCATGTGTGTGTGCATACCCAAGATCACGGAAGGAGAATGGAAGAGAAGGAATTGTAGAGTGGCCATCCTTCCTGGGGGGCGATTTCTCACTTTCCCTCTCACTGTCTCTGTCTCTCTCTTCCTGGGAGCATACGCACCCTGAGGCAAAAACCTCTACAAAAAAATTATTTTTTTAATTACACCATATGGGTCTAGCAGGTGGCATGGTAGTTAAGGTGCTGGATACTCCCACATGGCTGCCCACAGTTCGAGTCCCAGACCTGGTAGCTTGCTTTCTCACTTTCCTTCTCTCTCTCTGGTCAAATTAAAATAAATAAATAAAATTAAATAAATAATTCTTTTTAAAAATAATAAATAAATTACGCCATGTCTGATTTCAAAGAAATGTCCTTGTGCAATAAGGAAGAGATGGAGGAGTGCATGGGGGTAGAGAGAGGAGCCGGGGAGGTGCTGCCAATCATGGAGCTCTCCCGAGATAATGGCCCTCTCTGCATGCAACTACACTACCATGGATTTGATTCTAAATGTCCTCACTGTTTTACTGAAGATCAATTTGAGCTCAGCTGAGGCAATAGTTAACAAAAATCACAATTTTTATTTTCTTATGTTCATTAATATATAACTCTTCAGATAAATATTTGTTCAATGTCTATGCCCTTGTGGAACACTACCACCCACTGTTCTGATAATGTGCCTGATGAACCTTCTGTCTGCATGCCCCCTCAAGGCCCATTTCTACTCATGGAAAACTGCCCTGACTCCACCCTACCCCTGTTTTTTTGAGCGCTATTTTTGCTAAAGGGGACGTGCGCTCACTAGAGACACAGAGAGAGACAGAGAGACAGAAAGCAAGAAATCACCCCCCCGGGGGGGTGGCCTCACCACAATCCCTTCTCCTCCATTCTCTACTTGGGATTTTGGGCATACACACACGTGTCCAGCATGAGTTTTAAGCTGCTGGGTCCGAGACATGGACCACGGTTGACTACATGGGAATCCAGCAATGTAACCATTATGCCACCCGCTGGCCCCACCCCCTCTTTTTTAATAAAAATATTCATTTAGTTTTACTTATTATTTCTTTATTTGACCAGAGATAGACAGAAAGAAAGAGAGGGAAAGTGAGAAAGCAAACCACGAGGTCTGGGACTCAAACCGCGGTCAACCATGTGGGCGTCCAATAACCCAAACACCATGCCACTTGCCGGCTCCAAAACCACCCCTTTACCACATTCCTACTATTCTGTTCCCCTTCCCATCTCTTCCTTGCATGAGCTCTGAGCAAATGTTTCCCACAGAAAACTCACTCTCCTCTTGGACTTTGCCTTTCCTAGGAATCGTGGAGACCTGGGTCCCACCCCAGGTCATACACGTCTTTCTCATTGCCTCTCTAGCAAGAATAAGGCAAGGGTTACCTCCTTCCTGGTCTTCACTTCCACTGATCCAATAGCCTCTGATTCTCATAATCTCATCCCGGCAAAGGTTTCTCAGTATAATGGATCTGGTTTTGATTATTTAAGTATAATATAGTAATACATTCACATTCATTTAATTAATTTAAAAATATTCATTGAGCACCTACCATGTGCCAGATACCATAGATGCTGGGACACAACCATGAGCAAAAGGACAAAGATCTTCGGCCTTCATGGAGTTACAGTCCAGCAGGCAAAATGGGCTGAAAACAGAAAAAGGAAAAAGAATGTTCTGTGATTTTACTTTTTTTTTTTTCCTGGGATGAGCAGAAGCTACTTTAGACAGGGTAGTCAGTGAGGGCCTCTCTGAGGAGGCAGACCTGAGAAATGAGATGGAGTCCTCTATGTGAGAAGGAAACAGAATGGCAGAGGAAACAGCAAGTGCAAAAGGCCCTGAGGCCAAGAAAAGAGGCCAAGAGCTGTAGAGGGCAGCTGAGGGTCATAAATGAGGTATGGGTAGAGGGGCTGAGGATGGAGAGATGGACTGGGCCACAGTGAGGGTTTAGGTTTTATCCAGAGCGATGGGTCCTGGACAGTAAAAGTTCCAACACAAGGCAAGCAAACCTTGGCAGCTTTCCATGTATGTTCTTCCATGCATCCAGATGTACGTGTGCATAGGGATTTGTGTCTGCTCTATAAGCTTTTGCACATCTGGGCTCTTCCTAAAATTCACTTTCCTGCTCTCTTTAGAACAACAGAGCTGGCCTTCTTGTCTCCTCTGAGAAGCATTCCCTTATTTCCTAGGATGAAATCCGTCCCTCCCTTGCCATTCTAGGTTCTCACAGGCCCTGGTGCCACCCCATCGTGGGATGTTCTTTGGCTATTGGCCCTTGCCTCTTCAACCCCAGAGCAGGGGAGGCACTGCCTTCACCCACTGGAGCTCACGGTTGGCACAGAGGCACACTGGGAAATGCTCACCTGACAGCTTAACTGATGAGACGACAGAATGAGCTTGCAGGGGTGTAGAACCCTACTGCCGGCAGACTCCCCAGTGAGGTTGCCCTGGTACCAACTTTCTGCTCCTTACTCTCATCTCTTCCTCCATCAAAATCTTATCAGTCCCATGTCCCATTCCCTCAGGGCCACCTAGCTGGCACTGAACGGAATCTAATCACAACAATTTAGAGACAGCCGAGAAAAGTAATGTAGTAGCTCCAGGCCACTCCAGAAAAGCTAACTTCTTCTTCTTTTTTAAAAGAATTATTTATTGAGACCAACAGATGGCATAATGGTTACGTAACTGGACTCCTTTGTGAACGACTGTGGTTTGAGTCCTGGTACCGGCAGCTTAAAACTCACACCAGAGGGCCAGCAGGTGGTGTGGTGGTTGAGGCACTGGACTCCCACATGGCTGACCACAGTTCAAGTCCCAGACCTGGCAGCTTGTATTTTCTCTGTCTCTCTCATCAAAGTGAATAATAATAATTAATAAATAAAATTAAATAAATAATTCTTTAAAAAAAAATTTTTTTTTAGAATTATTTTATTGGGGCCAGCAGGTGGCATGGTGGTTAAGGCGCTAGACTCCCACATAGCTGACATGTTTGAGTTCCAGACCTGGCGGCTTCCTTTCTCACTTTCTCTCTCTCTCTCTGGCCAAATTAAAATATAATAAATATAATTAAATAAATAATTCTTTTATTTTTTCTGAGAGGTTTTTGCTATAAGGCGCATGTGCTCACCAAAAAGACAGAGAGAGAGACAGAGAGACAGAAAGAAAGAAATCATCCCCCGGAGGGGATGGCCACCCCACAATCTCTACTCCTCTATTCTCCTCTTGGGATCTTGGGCACGCATGCACAGGTGCCCGGCATGAGTTTAAGCCATCGGGTCCAGGACTCGAACTGTGGTCAACTACATGGGAGTCCAGTAGCATAGCCATTATGCCAACTGCTGGCCCCAAATAAATAATTTTTAAAATTATTTTATTTAATTTTACTTACTGATTTATTTATTTATTTTAATTTGACCAGAGAGGAACAGAATGAGAGCGAGAAAGAAAGTGAGAAGGTAAGCCACCAGGTCTGGGACTCAAACTGCTGTGGACCATGTGGGAATCCAGCACCCTAAACCACCATGCTACCTACTAGCTCTTAAAAAAAAAAAAAAGGTAAAAAAAAAAACTCACACCAGGTGTGTTTGCATGCAGGCCCAAAATCCTAGGGTGAAGGGATGGCAACATGGCCATCCCCCTGGGGGGTAATTTCTCGCTTTCTGTTTCTGTGTCTCTCTGTGTCTCTAGTGAGTGCACGTGCCCTATAGCAAAATATCTCTCTTAGGAAAAAAAAATAAAAAAGAATTATGTATTTTATTTATTTATTTATTTTAAAATCTGACCAGAGAGAGAGGGAAAGTGAAAAAGCAAGCCACTAGGTCTGGGCCTCAAACCATCGTTGGCCATGTGGGAGTCCAGTGCCTTAACCACCATGCCACCTGCTGTCACCAAAAAGCTAACATCTTTATGGGGAGGGGAGAATCATGAGCAACTTGAGCCAGACTCCCAGCTGCAAGGGGACAAAGGCAAGGTCACAGAAAGCAGTGCCAGGTCCTGACATCTCATTAGGTTTGTTGGTATTGGCAGGAGGCAGCACAACATGGTGTTGGTGATGGGCTGAACTGTGTCCCCCACTCAGAGTTCACATGCCGGTATCTTAGCCAGTAGCTCAGAAAGCGACTATCTGAGATAGGGCCTTTTTTTTTTTTAAAAGGTCTCACATACTTATCACTGAACCAACCTGCCAATACAGAACTTAGAAACAAAGTGAAGCATCATTTTTTCCCAATAAAACACCCCCAAGTGTCCAGTCAGTGGTGACCATTTTCAGCTTGATGTGGCAAGACCACAGTGACCTTGGTACAGCATAAACATGTGGCCCACATCCTGTCCAGATCCTCATAGACCCAGCTTGGTTCTCCTCCAGTGTCTCCTCTTGGAGTTGTATCTCATTTTATTACCAGATTTCTTTCTAATCCATTGGGGAATAGGACGATTTGTTTCTGGTTTTTGGCCAGAAATCGCTTGATTCTGAAAGTCTTGTGAGAAGACATGGCAAAGAACCAAGTGGACCACACACTGGGCCTTTTTTCCCCTAAGAATTATTTTATTTATTTATTTATTCATTCATTCATTCATTCATTCATACATACATACATACATACATACCAGAAAGGGACAGAGAAGAGAGAGAGAGAAAGTGAGAAAGCAAGCTGCCACGTCCAGGATTTGAACTACGGTTGGCCATGTGGGAGTGCAGTGCCTTAACCACCACGCCACTTGCTGTTCCCAAGATAGGGATTTTCTTTTTTCTTTTTTTTCTTAATTTTTATATGGACCAGCATTAGAGATGAATCCCGAATCCCGGAGGAGCCCTCCCTACCCCAGGCAGACTGTTGCAGAGCGTCTTCCAATCGCCAGCTATGGTGCCAGCTGGGAATGGAATGGGTACCTCTGCTGGCTTTGCTCTCCCTCCCATTTCCGAAGCTGGCAGAATACGAGTTACTCTCCAGATGTGATCCCAGGAGGTTGAAGATAGGGCTTTTAAAGGGGCAATCGAAGTTAAATGTGAGGTCTTGAAGGTGGGTCCTAATCCAATTGGACTGGTGTTATCTTTTTTTTTTTTTTACACGATTTTTGCCATACAGTTGTTCACTCACCTGAGACAGATACACAGAGAGAGACAGTGAGAGGGAAAATGAGAAATTACTCCCCTGGGGAGATGACCCACACCACAATCCTTTCTCCTCCATTCTCTTCCTGGGATTTTGGGTATGTACACACATGTGTCCAGCATGAATTTCAAGCCTCCAGGTCCAGGACTTGAACCATGATCAGCCATGTGGAAGTCCAATGATTTAACCACCATGCCACTTGCTGGCCCATGTACTGGTGTTCCTGTAAGAAGATGAGAGAGTAAGGGATGGATGGCACAGTGGTAACACAATGTACTGTAGGCTGACCCACCTGGGAAGATTCTGGGTTCATATCCAGAGACCTCTGTGAACACACTGAGTACATGTATGCCCAAGATCCAGGGCTGGCTGAGGCTGGGAATGGATCATGGTTTGTTGGAGATCTGTTGTTCTCCCTGTCACTTTAACATATGGAAGAAATAAATTTTTAAAAATTATTTAATTTTATTTATTCATTCATTTATTTTAATTTGACCAGTGAGAGACAAAAAGAGAGAAGAGAAGGAAAATGAGAAAGCAAGCCCCAGGTCTGGGACTTGAACTGTGGTCAGCCACCTGGAAATGCCCAGTGCCTCACCACCACGCCACCTGCTGGTCCCAAGAAGAAATAATTTTTAAAAAATTCGACATTAGGAACCAGCAGTTAGCATAATGGCTATGTCGCTGGACTCCCACGTAGTCTACCGCGGTTTGAGTCCCGGACCCGGTGGCTTAAACGCACACTGAGCGCATGTGCATGTGTGCCCAAGTCCTGAGAGGAGAATGGAGGAGAAGGGATTGAGGCATTGCCATCCCCCCTGGGGGGTGATTTCTCGCTTTCTATCTCTCTGTCTCTGTCTCTCTGGCGAGCGCACGCACCCTATAGCAAAAACCTCTAAAAAAAAAAAATTTGAGATTAGAGGCTGGCCCTCTGGCTTAGTGGTAGAAGGAGCCAGATCCCACATGGCCAAATGAGTGTGTTGAATCCCAGACCTAGTAACTTGAAAAAAAAAAAAAATCTCTCTGGCAAACTCATGTTCTGGCAAAAAAAAAAAAAAAAAGATGAAATTAAGACACATACGTGGGGTGACCCTGTGAGGACATAGTGAGAAGATAGCCATGAGGTCTCAGGACAAATCAAACTGATGACACCTCGATCTTAGACTTGTAGCCTCTAGAATTATGGAAAGTAAGTTTCTGTTGTCTAAGCCACTCAGTTTGTGGTATTTTGTTGTGGTGGTCTTGGCAAACTAATTCAGTAGTTAACATCAGAGACTCTGGATCCAGTTGGCCTGGATTCAAATCCCAACTCCCTTGCTCATTAGCTATATCATCTTTTTATTTATTTTTTAAAAAATTTGTCAGAGGGTTCATGCACTTGCTAAAGAGACAGAAATACAGAAAGAGAGAGGGAGAAAACGTTCCCCAATAAGGCATGGTCATGCTGCACTCCCTTCTCCATTTCTCCATCCTGTTAGGATCTGGACACATGTGCACATGCATACGCTCATGCAAACACACTCACGTGGAAGTGCCTGGCATCTTTGTTTTGTTTTGTTTTGTTTTTTTGCTCAGAACATTTTTAATAATGCATATTTTAAAAAAGTATTCATCTTACAAATTATTCTGCACTCCAAATATACAATAGCTTGGAAAACAACGTTTAGAAAATAAAACCCAATGTAAAAAGACAGATTAAAACAACTAGAACAGTACAGGTTTTTATATAGCTCAGATGTTACAGTTTTCTTACTGCATCATCAATGTCAGAAATTGTTCCTTCAGCTGGCTCCATTGCTCCGGATTTAAAGAAATACCTTTTCTTCCTGGTTTCATTTCACCTTCTGGATCCATCCAATATTCCCTGATATCAGTTAGAACTTTCCCTTTAAAATCCCGAACACTGACATATCTCATTTTCCCAATTTGAAACATGTTATCATCTCTGCTGCTGCTGCTCTGTTTGGAAGATGACAGAGCTCTAGAAGTTTCACCAGTCTTTTGCTTCTTTACAGGTTTTTCTGGAGCAACTTGCTTTTTCCTCTTTAACTTCTTGTCAACTTCACTGTCGGAATCACTGCCAGAAGAGCTTGATGAAACAAGTTCCTTTGATGTAGGCATTGCTCCGCTCCTGCTATCCAACAACCTCCTGCTCGTTCACTCCCGACTCCCTGGCATCTTTTTGAAGCTGCACAGTTGGCCATGTGGTATCCAGTTCTCTTAATCACTAGGCTATAGGCAGGCCCAATTTTATCATCCTGGGCAAGTTACTTTGTTCCTCTGTGCCTAAGTTTCCCATGGGTTTATGGGTTTGGTAATCGTACCTATCTCACAGAGCTGTTACGAGAATGAAATGGTTGGTAAAGCACCCAGGAAACCATCCCTGGCATGCAGTAAGTACTGTGTAGGTGTTTGTTAAATCAATTTTATTCTCTGATGAAGGTGAATAAACAGGCCCTGCCCTGAAGAACTCAGCATTACGTAAGGTTAGAAAGGGTCACCAGGCAATAAGTGTTCTTATATGACAACACTATATCTTAGAGAACCAGAACAGAAACTTCTGCCCTCCTTGAGGGCAGAAACTAATTTTATCTATGTGAAAAAAGGCTTGGCAAAAAACAGCACCCAAGAAGAACTTGCCAAACCAAATAATTTCCAAAGAACCTCTTGGTGCTGGGGCTTAGTGACTGATTGTTCTTGGGAGTAGCAGGTGATATTTCTAGAAGTTTTGTTTGGTTCCTTTTCAAATTTATTTTCTTTTTTTCTTTTTTAAATTTACTAGAGGATGGGGCTGACAGGTGGTGTGGTGGTTAATGGTGCTAGACTCTACATAGCTGACCACAGTTCAAGTCCCAGACCTGGCAGCTTTCTTTTTAACTTTCCCTCTCTCTTGCACTGGCCTCTCTGGTGAAATTAAAATAAATAAATAAATAAGATAAAGTTAAAATAACTCTTAAAAAATTTACTAGAGAGCACATGTGCTCGCAGGAGAGAGACAAGGAGAAAGAGAAAGTGAGTAAGCATCCCTATGGGAGATGGTCACACTGAAATCCCTTCTCCTCTGTTTCTCCTTTCAGGATTTTGGGCATGCACACACAGAGCGTTTTGTTTGTTTATTTAAGAGATTTTTTTTTCTTCTTTCTTTTTTTTTTAAAGGATTTACGTATTCATTCATTTTATTTTAATTTGACCAGAGAGAGAGAAGTGAGGAAGCAAGCCACCAGGTCTGGGACTGTCCAGCGCTTTAACCACCATGCCACCTGCTGGTTCCTGTTTGAGATAATTTTTGCTATAGGGCATGTGTACTTGCCAGAGAGACAGAAAGTGAGAAATCACTCCCTGGGAGGGATGGTCACGCTGCAGTTCTTTCTCCTCCATTTTCCTCTTGGGATTTTGGCCACATGCACACACAACATGTCCCAGTGTATTTCAAGCCACTAAGTCCAGGACTCAAACCACAGTCAGTCACATGGGAGACTACCACCTTAACCACTACACCACCTGTTGTTCACCCCAACGCTGTTTTTCAAACCACTGGATCTGGGGCTTGAACTTCGCAGTTGGCCATTGTGGGATCTAGCTGTCGTAACAACCATATCACCAGCTGGCCTCACTCTCTGGCAATTTATTTTTTTAAGAGAGCACATTTATTTTTTTTCTCAAATATTATTTATTTATTTTAATTGCCAGAGGGTGTGCATGCTGACCAGAGACAGAGAGGGAGAAAGCACCTCCCAAAAGGATATGGTCGTTTCGCACCCTTTTCCTTCATTTCTCCCTTTCATCAGGATTTTGGGCATGCACACATATGTGCCTTGTGTATTCCCCAAGCTGCTGGGGCTGGGATTAAAACCTTGGTCGGTGGGGTCCAGCAGGTAGTGTGGTGGTTGATACGCTGGATTCTCACATGGCTGACCACGGTTTGAGCCCCAGAACTGCAGTCAGCCATGTGGGAGTCCAGCACCTTAACCACCATGCTACCTACTGGACTCCCCCCAACAGGGTTCTAATGCCATGATCCACCCCCAGTCGCAGCCAGCCCTGGATCTTAAGCACATGTACACCTGGTATACTCACGGAAGTTTCTGAATGCAAACCCAGAATCTTCCTGTGCGTGTCAACCTTGTAGCACATCATGTTTGACTGCTGTGCCACTATCCAGGTCTGGATATTTTCTTTTTTAAAAATTATTTATTAAATTTTATTTATTATTATTATTATGTTTTTAATTTGCCATAAGCTATGTGCCTTCACCAGAAAGAGACAGAGAGAGAAAGAGGAGAGAGAGAGAGAGTGAGAAAAAATACACCAGGTCCAGGACTTGGACCACGGTGAGCCATGTGGGAGTCCAGTGCTCCAACCATTATGCCACCTGCTGGCCCCCAACTCTGGACATTCTTATATGCTATCTCATATAACCGCTATTATCAGAGGAAGAAGTATTTGAATAAACTAGCCCACTACTGCAAAAGGAAAACCCCTGAAAACCAGTTTCAGTGATAAAATAGGCCCAGCACAATTACCTCCTTCCCTGACTTCAGTCCTTGTCCTCTGTCTCTGACCCAGGCAAGAAGAGCACAGGTACATACTACATGACCCAAGTACCAGGGGACACTATCACAAGTCACAGCAGCCATTCAATGTGTAGCTGTGATACTGTGACAACTCCACACAGTGATGTCATATGTAAACGTCACCCATCAGTGCTCTGGGAAATGACAACTCAAAACTGTGAAATGCTTCAAAAGCCATGTGTAGGACACCTGCCATGTGTCAAACGCAGAGGTTACAGCAGAAAGCGAGATTTCTGCCCCCATAAAATTTACAGTCTGATAGGAGCAACAATGAACATAGAGCAAACAAATCCAAAGTGTGAAAAAAATCTACGAAGAAAAACAAAACAGAGTAATCAATCAGAATGGAAAGTGCTGCTTTGGAAGGGATATTTAGGTTCTCTCTGATGAGGTGACATTTGAGCTGAAGCCTGAAGGTTGAGAAGAAGCAAGCTGCAGGGAAGAGCTGAGGAGATGCAAACCAGGCAATGAAATACCAAGTGCTCTTGGCACACACATTTCAAGGAACAGGAAGGAGGATAGTTTGGCTGGAGTGAGGTGGCAAATGAGAGAACATGAGGTTAGAGGGGGAGGCGGGACCGGAACACACAAGGTCTCCTCTTGAACGCCTTGGGGAACTGTTTGTATTGTGTGTGTTTTTAAAATAATTATTTAATTTTATTTATTATTCATTTATTTTAATTTGATCAGCAAGAGTTAGAGAGAGAGAGAGAGAGAAAATGGGCAAGCAAGATACTAGGTCCGGGACTCAAACCATAGTTGACCATTACGGAGTTTCCAACACCTTAACCACCAGCCACCTGCTGGCCCTGTATTGTGTTTTAAGTATGAATGAAAGCCATGGAGGCTGCCAGGTGATTTACACTCTGAGAAGATTGCTATGATAAGAGCTGTCATGTGTAAAAAAGAAGGCCCTGTTCCTCAGTGTCACCACCTAAAAAGCGACCCAACCCAATTTTAAGGAGGGCGGGTCCTCCTCCAGGCATCTTCTTCCAAGCCTAAGGGTGAACAGTCGACACGCCTCCTTCCAAGCCCACGGGTGAACCGAATGCGCCCAAAAGGAAATTGTCCTCTGATTGGACGAAGCCAGGTATGCGACCTGAGGCCGGGTCAGGCGGAGTCTCCTGTTGGTTACAAGCTCTCCTGTCTCTTCCAATAAGACAGCTACTCCAAAGAATGCGTAAGTCCTATTCCGCCTGTGGGACAAGTGCGTCTTGTGATTGGCTGTCCCCTGTGAGTGACAGAAGCCATAGGCTATGGGCGCAACGTTGCTGCGGCACGGCCCCAGCGAAGTGGGGTGAGTAGCCGGAACCCGGGCTGTCAGTGCGTGTCCTGTTCGTCTCTACCTCGCTCGCCACCGTCGTTATGGCCGCCCCACCGCAGCTGCAGACTCTGCTCCTGGCGGTCAACGCACTGCTGCGCAAGCGCCGCTACCACGCCGCGCTGGCCGTGCTTAAGGGCTTCCGGAACGGGGCCGTGTGAGTGGGGTGTCGGGCGGGGCCAGGCGCGCAGGTGCTGAGAAACTGGCCTGGCAGGGGTAGGGTCTTGGGTTCGAGGCTCGGCGCCGCCGCGCTGTGTGCTCTTGAGGAGCTCTCTCGTGTTTCTAGATCTTGGTGTCTGCCATAGGTGCAGTGGAAGCTGGATGTAGGCTCCGAGCGCCTGCGCAGCTCTGAGCTACGGCTCCTTCTGCACTATTTTTGAGTCCTTCGTGCTTTGCATTTTGGCTGACTTGCTTCGACCGCCTCTCATGGCAGCTCTTGTATCCTCATTTTTGTCCAGTTTACCCACTACGCTGTGTGCCCCTGGGTCCAATCTGCACAATGGGAAACTGGACTCTAGCCTCTAGCAAGTAGGTAGATGCCTCCTGCCTACGCCCCCCTAAGGCTGCCATTTGGCTAGTGTCCTGCACCCCACTCATTGCATAATTCCAGCACTGAGACCCCATTTGGCACATAGATTCCTGGATGTGACGGTGAATGTAAAGGAACCTGCAAACATTTGCTGGGCAAAGTGGATCTCATCCTTGCCCTCCTTAGCTCCCTTTGCAGGAGAAGAGGTCGTGGGGTGTGTTATTTGGTTGGGCTGGTGCCTGGAGGGGAGCTTGGCCTCCTTTAAATCTCCAGCACAAGAGCCATTGTTCATGAGTACCTACTGTACCTCAGCCCAGGGCAGAAGTAGACAACAAACCCCTGGGGCCCCCTGGAGATGACTTCCCAGTGGCAGCGTGGCATAGTGATGAGGACGTGGACTATCTGGGTTGGACTCCTCGTGCCACCTACCTGTGTGATCTTAAACAAGTCATTTAGCCTCTCGAAACCTCAATTTCTATAAAATGAGCATGATGATAGTACTTATGTCATTAGTATCAGAGGACTGAGCCAGTTTGTGTGAAGTGCTTAGCACAGTACCTGGTTTCAATGTAACTGCTGGCCGCTGTTGCTGTTGTTAAATTCACATGGATGTCTTCCTGGCTAACGCCCTCACCTTTTTCTTTTCCTTTTTTTTTTTAAAGAATTATTTTTTTTAATTTAACTTTATTTGTTTCTTATTTATTTTAATTCGACCAGAAAGGGACAGAGAGAAAGTGGAAAAGCAAGCTACCAGGTTGAGGACTCAAACTGCGGTCAGCTGTGTGGGAGTACAGTGCCCTTAACCACCATGCCACCTGCCAGCCTCCCTGCCCTCACCTTTTTCAGGGCTCTGCTTAAGTTACCACCTCCTCATGAGACCATCTCTAACTCCTCTACTTTCTTTTCCTTCTTAGTACTTGATGCCATCTGACACAATGTAGTTTCTTAGTTTTTTTTTCCAAGAATTATTTATTTATTATTATTATTTTTTTTTAACATGAGTTTTATCAGAGACAGACAGAGAGAGAGGGAGAGTGAGAAAGCAAGCCGCCAGGTGTGGGATTTGAACCGCGGTCAGCCATGTGGGAATTCCAGCACCTTAACCACCACACCACCTGCTAGCCCTGGTATTTTTGTTTGTTTGTTCATATTTTTAATTTTTGGCTATCAGACCAGCACTGCCACTGGTAGCCCTAGGATTACTGTTTAAAATTATTTTAAAGTTTGTTTTGTTCTTTCATGAGTGAGAGGTAGAGACACAGTCACCCCTGACAGAGAGTCCTCGCACTATGGCCCTCCTCCAGACCACCAACGTGTGTGTGCCTGGTGTACTCAGGAAAGTCCTTGGATGCGAACCTGGAGCCTCCCCATGTGGGTCAGCCTCACAGAGTTGCATTACCACTGTGCCATCATCTAGCCCCATTTCCTCTTCTTTTTTAAAAATTGTTTTGTTGTGGGGCACATACTCTCTTGGAGAGAGAGAGAAAGCCTCCTGCCGGTGGGGGAGTTAGGAATAACCACACTGCAGTCCCTTCTCCTCTTGGGATTTAGGGCACACATGCACACACACCCTGCATGGTTTTTAAGTGCTAGTTCTGAGACTTGAACCATAGGGTCAGCCATGTGAGATCCAGCTGCCTTACCCACCATGCCACTGGCTAACCTCCTATTTCTTTTTTTCTTTCTTTTTTTTTCTTTTTTTTTGAGAGATTTTTTCGCTATAGGGTGCATGCACTTGCCAGACAGACAGAGAGAGACAGAGAGACAGAAAGCGAGAAATCACCCCCCGGGGGGGATGGTCATGCCGCAATCCCTTCTGCTCCATTCTTCTCTCGGGATCTTGGGCACGCACGCACACGTGCCCAGTGTGAATTTTAAGCCACCGGGTCTGGGACGCGAACCGCGGTCGACTACGTGGGTGTCCAGCGACATAGCCATTACGCTAACTGCTGGTTCCCCTATTTCTTGTATTTTAATACCCCCTCTCTCTCAAGAAAGTAAGCTTCATGAGGACTGAAATCTTTATCTACTTTTTTCCTTGGTGTATTCCTAGCGCCTAGTACATAATAGGCTCTCAAATACTGAATGAATGAATGAGTGTGCAAGGTAAGAATTGGCATTGTTTCCATTTTCCACATGAGAAGACCGTGACTCAGAGAGGCAGATCCATTGCACGTGGTCAACGTTGGAGCCAGGATTCAGACACAGGGATGCTCAATCCCTGCAGTCAGAGGCAGATAGACACTAGTCCTGGTAGGTCTGCTCAGATAATACCAACCACTCCTTGGAGTTACCATGTGAGGTGGACCCTGGGATAACATCAGTGGCCCTATTGCCAAGGTGTTCACTGAGCAAAGTGGGAGTAAATAGGAGTCACGCAGCCTGGGTGCCGATAGGCATTGCCCAATGCTGGCTTTGTCCACCTGTCCCCACACTACTTCTTCCTGTGACCTCAGGAAACCTTCCCAGCCAGGGCGCTGGCTTTGTCCACCTTGTCCCCATGCTACCTCTTTCTGTGAACTTAGGAAAACTTCCCAGCCAAGGCAGGCATTTTCTGGGATCAGGTCCTTGAGCTTTAATCTCAGTTCTTTCATTATAAAAGTTGAATATCCCTCAGGGCCAGCAGGTGTATGGTGGTTAAGGTGCTGGAATTCCCACATGGAATACTGTGGTTCGAGTCCTGGGCCTGGCAATTCTCCCTCCCTTTCTCTGGCAAAACTCATGTGAAATAAATAAATAAAATAATTTTTTTCTTTCTTTCTTTCTTTTTTTTTTTTTGGAGAGGTTTTTTGCTATAGGGTGCGTGCGCTTGCCAGACAGATAGAGAGCGACAGAGAGACAGAAAGCAAGAAATCACCCCTTGGGGGGATGGCCACGCCGCAATCCTTTCTCCTCCATTCTCCTCTTGGGATCTTGGGCACACACACACATGCACCCAGCGTGAGTTTAAGCCACCGGGTCCGGGACTCGAACCGTAGTTGACTACGTGGGAGTTCAGCGACATAGCCATTACGCTAACTGCTGGTCCCTAAAATAATTCTTTTTTTGTTTTTTTTTTTGGAGAGGGTTTTTGCTATAGGGTGCGTGCGCTTGCCAGACAGATAGAGAGCGACAGAGAGACAGAAAGCAAGAAATCACCCCCCCCGGGGGGATGCCCATGCCGCAATCCCTTCTCCTCTATCCTCCTCTCAGGATCTTGGGCACACACGCACACACGCCTGGCATGAGTTTAAGCCACTGGATCCGGGACTCGAACCACAGTTGACTACATGGGAGTCCAGTGACATAGCCATTACACTAACTGCTGGTCCCCCCCTAAAATAATTCTTTAAAAAAAAAAGTTGAATGACCCTTCACCTCTTCTGGCCTTAGTTTCGTTCTTTGTAAAATGGGAATAAACTCATCCATACAGGGGTGCTCTATGGCAGTGACCCCATTACTGGTCAGTGCTAAGACATGATGCTCATCTGTAAAAACCTCGAGAACAAGGGAAGACACTGACAATTAAACTACCATGGCAGTACCGGTGATCAGGAGTGCTTTCCAGAGGAGGCAATGGTGGTGTTTTGAATGCTGAATTGGAATTTGCCAGAGAGAAGAGCAACCCAGGGGGAGGGAATGACTTAATCAAAGACCACGGGGTGGAAAAGAATATGCTGTTTGTGAAGAGAGGCCATCCACTTAGGGAGGTAACTTAGACAGCCAAAATGTTTGAACTTTGTAAAATTTAACTCTCTTTGATATTTCACCCTTAAAGAGTTCAGCGTGCATCTCTAAAGATAGGTATATTTTCCTATATGGTTAAATTTTTGTGATCACATTTAACAAATTAATAATAATTCTAGAATTCTTTTATTTATTATATTGGCCAGTTAATAGTCAGATTATTGCAGCTGTCCATAAATGTCCTCTATAGCTACTTTCTCCAGGCCAGGGTTTTCCAGGACATCACTTTACACCTGTCATTTTGTCCTTTAAGTCTTTTTTGTTTTGTTTGTTTGTTTTTGCCATATGGTGTGTGTGTCCCCCTGGAGACAGAGAGAGGGAAAGTGAGAAATCACCTCCCAGGGAGTGATGGCCACACTGCAATCCCTTCTCCTCCATTCTCCTCTAAGGATTTTAGGCACACATGTACATGCGTCCAGCGTGTTTCTCAAGCTGTTGGTTCTGGGACTTGAACTGTGAAATTGCCCCATATGGGATCTAGCACCTTAACCCCATACCACCTGCTGACCCCCCTTTAAATCATTTTTAATCCAGAGCATCCTTTTTTTTTTTTTCCCCTGGAATAGCTAGCTCCCAAAAGACTTTGGGAAGGACTAGCAGATTTAGAGAGTTGGGGCATTGTTCTGTTTGTGTCCAGGCTATGAAGAAGAACCCTTGGGCCAGCCAGTGGCATGTTGGGGAAGGCAACTAGATCCCACATGGCCAACCCTGTTGTTCAAATCTCAGACCTGGCAGCTTGAAAAACATGCAGAGTGCATGTGTGTGCATGCCCCAAATCCCCAGAGAATGGAGGAGAAGGGATTGCGGCATGGCCATCCCTCCAGAGGATGATTAAGCACTTTCGCTCTCTATCTTTGTCTCTCTTCTGAGTACACAGGCCCTAGAGCAAAAACTTAAAAAAA